CCGTATAGGTGATGAATCGTGGTTTAGACCATCCTCGAAAAACATCTCATTCGGCCATATCGGATGAATATGGTCGTAGTAGTGGTAGTGACGATAATAGTGATCATGGTCCTAGTCATAATCTTGCTTCTAATCCAAAACCCGTGCTAAGCATTTCTACATCACTAGCATTAACTCTCGTGACCCCTCTTTCATCCTCAATATAGGTGCCCACTTCTACTCCATTACCGGCATCAATTCCCTTGCCTCTATTACCTCCCATACGAGATGAACATCAACTCGCATAAAGCCGGGTAGAAGAGATCTCTTTGGTGGTTTCTTTTACTTCGAGTGGCGGTTCTAGAACTAATGCCGACCGGACCATTCATGTCATAAATGGAGGGTACGTATTATTCACATCAATATGAATAGTATTGTCTTACTTTATAGTTCATAATTATTTATATATTGGTATATTATTTTATTCATGTATTCACTTATCATCATTTTATTTATCATGTTTGATAGTTATAATCCATCCAATTGGTGCTCTTAATAGATCATTGTCACTTTTAAGGAGCGATTAAGCCCCTTCGGATCTACATGGAAGTTAGTATTCTAGGAGACCAAAGACTTATACTAGAATGAGTTTAAGGTAACATGTTAATTAATTATTTATTTATTTATACTATTTTTAAATTATTTTAGTAAATCTAATATGAAATATACTACTTTTTTTCTTCTTCTAGAAGCGAGTTTATATAAAAGATAGCCATCAATGTACTAGTTAAGATAGCATGGAAGTGTTAGGCATACAAGTGGTATACCAACATGCCGACCGATTAAAAGAAGAAGGAGACCAAACGTTCGTCTATCTTAAATCGAGTGTGGGAGGAATGGTAGCAGTAATATGCTACACTTGAATTTTAGGCCTATTCTAAGCAAATAGCCTAGAACTATATGTGAGAGACGGGTGGTATTGGTTTTGACCTATCTAAATATACAAAGAGTTCCATCTCACATATTGAGCATGTTGCACATATTGTAAATTTTATTATCCATTATGCTATAAATTATTATTTATAGTTATTACAACTCATGTTATTTTATCAACTTTTTTTAGCCTAAGGAGTTATGTGGTCATTCAAATTCTTACGAATTGTTCATGATGATTCACAACCGATCGAATGGGTCATTCATCGATATGCGATCCAAGATAGTTAAAGTAAGTGTCTTATTTTTTTAATTACACATATGCTAATTTAATTTAAAAATTAAATTTATTATTTAATATTATAATTTTTGCAATTACGTATGAGCAAGTGAACTCATTGTATGAGGCAATTGCTAGCCAAGCACAAGAGGGTTTTCCATCATCGCTGAACATCGATATAGCTCGGATATATCTCAAGAATTTAAAGGGGAAAAGAAGCATAGGGTGTATGGGTTCATATCACAAGCATCATAGTATTACTCTTATTCTAACGCTCGGTCATCCTCTACCAAATGTAATTCCATGATGGCATGCGAGCATGATAATGAGTAGTAACAATAGTAATTCTAGGTAAAAATAGAATGAGACTAGGCTAAACAAATCTAGGAGGTCAAGGAAGAACATAAGGCGGAATAACGACTTCTCCAAGAAGAGTCGTAGGGGACTCAAGCAAGAGTAGTAAAAGGTGGTGTAGCGATATGAGTAGTAGATGTAGATGATGTAACAATTATTATGAAAGATGCGGACCTACATTCACCTACGCTTCCCTCCTCCTTATCCCCTACCTAGCAGACCACCCTTTTCCTCCCCACACCCAAGTAATCATTGAATGATGTTGATGATCTCCCACCTATACCCTTTCGATCGACTAGCTTTTTTATAGCTTTTTATTATTTTTGTACCCTAGATTATATATTTGATTTGATTTTATATTATTTTATTTTAAACAATAATATTTCATATTATAATTTCATTTTTAGTTGTTTATTACTATAATTAAATGTTAAACCACTAATAACGAATTAAAAAATATATATTTTTTCTTCATTAGCGATGTAGCAATTGACTAACAATGAAAAGAAAGAGTAAATTATATCAACTATTGATTGACAATTACAAAATTTATCACTATATGCCCGACCAATGGCGACAAATTTCATCGACAAATCCCCGATGTGATAACAAAAATTTTTGTCAATGTATTAGGTACACCAAACTATAGTTTAACGACCATATTTAGCAACCAAATTCTATAAAAGATTTTCATCTCTATATATTGACGAAGTAAAACAACCTACCAATGGTTTTGTAATAGATGTTACAATTACAAACTAAGTATTTACATCACATTAGCGGCAAAAGTACTTCACTAAAACGACAACTTGTCCGTTACTAACTTTACAACGGATGGTAACTTTCATCGCTAAAATTATTAGCAATAAGTGTTTAACCTACAGTTTGATTTCGTTGCCATTTTGTCACTAAAAAAATAACAACAGAATATATAGGTTTAAACACATAATTTTTCATCGCTAAAGACTTAATTTTTTGAAGTGATCTTATTACAACTACGGAAAATAGTAGTTTTGACCATATTTTTTTATGAAAAATTAAGGAACCATTAGCTATTGAAATAGATTATTCAGCATTAATTTATCAAGAGAAGATAAGCAATTTGGATTTCTTGTCATATGTTCATTTGCACTAGAACCTATAACCCATGTACATGTATTGGTGTCAAAAGAGGAGAAAGAGGGTAAGGCATAAAAGTTACTAGACTCGTGGGCTGATGATGAGCAATCATGTGGGGAGAGGATTGGGGTTTCTATTTATAAACGACAAAGGCATTATTCATTCTATTGTCAGTTTGGATACTAGATCCATGGTTCATCACTTTTCTCCTAGTTTTCTCTTGTCGTATGAGAGAACAAACATTGCAAAACGAGGGTAATTCATATCTCATTAGAATTTGACATTAAAAATCTTGAAAAATTAAAATACTTTATTAGTATTGAAGTTACTTATTCAAACAAAGGCCTTTTTATTTCTCAAAGAAAAATATACTTTGGACTTGTTGAAAGAAACTAAAAAGTTAACTGTAAAACTTGTTTAAATTCCTACATGTTATAATCATAAACTTGGCATGTCTTCAAGTAAGCCTCTTGATGATGTTAGTCAATACCAAAAATTGGTAGGAAAATTGATTTATATAACAATAACTAGGCCAGATATTACATTAGTGGTCAGTCTTGTAAGTCGGTTTATGCATACTCCAAGAACAGGCCATATGGAAGCAACAGAATTTCTTCTTCAAGATTTGAGATTTCAAACACCTCTTTCAATGAACATGTATTGTGATAATCAAATTGCTCCTCATAAAACCTCCAATTTTGTCTTCTATGAAAGGACTGAGTATATCAAAATTGATTTTGATTATCATTTTGCACGAGAAAATATTCAAGCCAAAATTATTAGTACATCTTGCTTCAAAGACATTGTTTGTCTTCAAAATCCATGCACTATATCTAAATTGGTTTTTCTTCAGGAGTTACATCATTAGAAACAATGCCAACACCATTAACCCCAGTCAAAGAAAGATAACCCGTTAGAGATGGTAGTGTTACTCAAACACCCATAACTCACCCCACCAGCAGTACCACCATACCCAATGTCTGCTTCATGTGTTTAGAACCTGCTCATGCCATTCATATTGCTAGTAACTTATGGTTGCAAGTGTCTTTGCCACTTTGCTCGTGCTGCCAATTTCCAACTTGACTTTTAGGAACCAATTGAAGTGTTATCTTTGTTTTGTGACTTGGGATAAAGCATCACTAGTAACAGAATTATGTGAGAAACTTCAAAAAGAAGAAGCAAAGTGGCTCAACATGCCTTAACTTTACGTACCAAATAATTTATTACAATTAAAAAAATCTTTCTAATTCGTTTAATGTGTTCTTAGCTTGGGAGTTGTGATTAAGTAAAGCTTGGGTCCTTAAATTCGTGACTTTCAATTCAAGACTTACCATTTCTTTTTTGTGGTACTTCTAATCTTTTAACGTTTTCCATATTGATCATGAACCCTTCCTTGAACTAGAGAAGGATGTCCATCAATCAATTAAATCAAATCAAATCAAATCAATAGAAAGGTCATCGTAATTGTACTTATAGAAAGGGCAAGAACCATACGGTCAGTAGTACTTTTACACTTTCTCTTTCTGCTTTTTTTACAGGGAGACCCATAAACAGCTTCAATAATCACTGTCCCCTACTTCTTGACACGTGCCTCCAAATTATTAATAACTAACAGGATAGGATTCTCTCTAACACCATCACTCCATCAAATTCTAGACTAAGACCCTGCTAGCTGGTTCCAGTTGTTAGGATACATATCACTCCTTTTGTTTTTTGCAGTAGTCACATTGGGAAAATACCCTAAATAAGCTTCTTTGACAAATAGTTCCGATGAAGATAGTTTGTCAAGTTTACCCCCTATAATCATCATATTTTGTTAATTTTGTGCGAAGTAAAGATTAACTGGCAGATATTTTCATTAAGACTGTTACTATATCTTGCTTCAAAGACATCTTGCTTAACTTGGCTTGACCTTTACCTTCTTTGAGATGTCTTAAGTTGGGTTGATCTTTACAATCTAACTCGAAAAAGAGTGTTGAAAGATAATATGTTTATTAAGTCTGTCTCTAACTCGAGGGAAACTATTGAAAGATAATATGTTTATTAAGTCTGTCTTGAATAAAATTTATTCAGAAACTTGATACTGACCACTAACTGACACAGATATTTTTAGATGAAAGAAAACTAATTGACATAACTTTTTCAAGCTGGTTAACTTCACCCTTTTTTCCTTGTGTAGAAATGTTAAATGCCAATCACGAAAGTTTTTATTGACCAAGGGATTATGAGGCTAGGCTTTGGCAAACTGACGCTTGCATTCAGTGATGGGGAGAGATTTTCTACGCACTGCAAGTGAAGATAAGTCTTTTATATATGGTTTGGACAATAGTGGAACTCAATGTAGAAACCTGTGTCCGTATTCACGAAACATAAGATTTGCTTCCTATAAAGAACCGAAATACAGTCATTTAGGTTGTGCACCCTGACAAGGAACAAATAACTCAATTTATTTGAAACATGTGGGATAAGTTTAAAAATCCAATGATAATACTTGGCTTCATATTACAATATTTTACAAGTTTGGCCCTTTTCAAAGAGAAAATTAGTCTTCAAGTGGAAATAATTAGGAGGTTTACTATGATTTATGAATGGAAGGAAAAAGCAGACAACTATGGCTTCGTTTGTTTCATGGAAAACAAGTTCCTAGAACTTATTTTTCCCATTTTCTCATGTTTGTTTGGCTATGTTGGAAAAAAGTCAAAGAAACTTATTTTCCAGATCAAGGAAAATTTAAAAGCAAACTTTGGGAAACCGACTTCCCATAAAAAAAAAACAAAAAAACATTTTCCATTTGCCGTAGCTGCTCGTCCTGTTCTCACCCAAACCCACCCAATATTGTTGCTCGAAGCCGACCCAAGGACGCCCTCGCCACCCAACACTCGCCACAACAAAGCTAATACCACCATCGAGCAAACAAAGCCTATAAAAGAACGATGATCCGCACTCTTTTCCCTTCTAGGATCATTTCCCTCACCCTTCCTCTCTCTACTCGCCTGTCGCAATCCAAGCCGGAGGAAAGTGCAAACACCTTCGCCACCGGCCTCGACTGCCATCGCCTACTTCGCAACCTCGGTCGACGTTGCCGGTGTGGTTTTGAGGTAAATTTATTTCTCTCTTTTTTCTCAAACACAAGAGTTTAATTGTGTAAAATCATCGAGTGATTGGATTGCCAACATAATCCTAAGAACCAAGATTTTAAAAAATTAAGATTGGGCTTTGAGATTTCGAGGTTTATACTCTTCTTTTCGAATTTTTTTGTGGGTTTTTCTTTTTCTTGGCTCTCGTAGTTAAATTTCTTTGAGTACTCGAATGACTAATTGTTCGGATAAATAAACCAACTTGGTTATTTTTTTGTTTTAGGATGAGGGCCCTCATGGTTGCATTTGCACATGCTTTGCATTTAAGAACTTACATTCGGTTGGCAAGTGGGGTTCCCTCTTAGTGCTATTCGAGCTTTCTATTTAAATATATATGATCTCTAGCATTTGAAAGCTAAACCGGGCAATGGTAATCGTTAACTTAAATAGGGTCTCTAGATTTGGCCCGATGTTTGTTTTGTTGGCGAAATTGGTCACGTGAACTTGATTTGCACTACAAGGTCTACTCTATTATTAATTCCGCATAACTTAAGACACAAAGTTGGTTGTTTTTTGTCAAGCAAAGTAAGATTAAAAATTAGAAGTGATCAATGGTGATTTTTCCCAACTATGGATGAAAAAGATTTTGTCTTCCGTTACGAAAGATCAAGGACACCTTGTTCCCGCGAATGGATTGGTATTTTGTTGTTAATTATTCCGAGTTATAAACTTGATTGCCAATAAATTGGACATTCATTCGAGCTTGCCATGTCGCCAATGATTTGTTCTTATTTAATGTAGTGATTTTGCTTGTATATGTTCATGAATTCGTGTGAGAATTTGTGATTTTCATTGAATTTGTGCCATGTAAACAATTGGATTTGGGAGGCATCGAGTCCGTCGATCCTTTTTGTGTTTTAAATTGATTAAATGATGAATGCTATAGCATGAAAGCAACTTGAGAAATTACATTGATTGTTATATGATAAAGAGTTATAAGCATGGATGATAGGATGATAAGTGGGCGGCGATAAAGAACTAGCAATGTAAAAAATTAGACTTAAAAAATTGAAAAAACGAGTAATATAGATCGAGTTGATGTTAATTCGAAATGTTTAATTGGTGGTGTAATGAATCTCAAAATTATGTTTAAATTTCTTTTTATTGAATTGATAGTTTATAGAAAAACTTTAGGAAAATGAAAAAAGCTGATATTTTAACATAATAAAAAAATACCTACTAACAACTCTTTATCACTTTACTCTTCCTAATGCTTCTTTCCCATATTCACTATATACCTACTAACAACTCCCACCACATGAGCTATATTAGATCTTATGCAAACCATAACATATATTTGGCTTCCAACTCGTCGATGTATAAGAGACTATAGATATTTTTTTACTCTTCGATTGCCTATGGTGATTACTTATTTGAAAGCCCGAGATGGCTTCCCAAATGAGTGCTTCGATCTTCCCATACTAAAAGTTGAATCGCTCAACACTTTTAAAAGTACTTTTCTTGAGATAAAGTCAATATACCTTCTAACCTATCTCTACTCATTTTCATCCCAAGTATTTGTTTCATAGGTCCCAAGTCCTTCATCTCAAATCATTCTACTAACTACTCGGTTGAGCTTATTGATCTCTTTCAAGTTAGATCCTACAACAAGCATATCATCAACATACAAGAGCACAATAAGATAACATTCATTAAATCTCTTGATATAATAGTAGTGATCTATCTCGCATCTCTTAATATAATAATAGTAATCTATCTTGCATCTCTTGAAACCATTATCACACATGAACCCATCAAACTTATTGTACCATTGCCTAGGAGTTTGCTTCAAATTACACGAGACCTTTTTACAACTTGCACACAAGTTTTTCCCTTTTTAGAACTTCAAAGCCTTCTAATTGTACCATATAGATTTCTCAATGTCACCATATAGAAGAGTAATTTTAACATCTAATTACTTTAGATGTAATTTTTTTATAGCAATAATACTCAAGCACTAGCCTAACAAGTAGTCATTTTGTCTACATGAGAGAAAATCTCTATGTAGTCAATTCCTTCTTTTTGTTAAAGCTCTTTATAACTAGCTTTGTCTTGTATCTTTACCTACCACCACGCTCTTCTTTAACCCTATACACCCACTTGTTATTTATAGCCTTTTTGCTTCTAGTAACATACTTAAGGTCTATGTCTAATTTTTCTCAAGATACCTCATCTCTTCGTTTATAGCTAAGTCCTCCTTAATAGAATCTTTCACCTATATTGCTTTACTAAAGAATTATGGTTCTCCGAAGCATCGGTAAGAAGTAAATAATTTAAGAAAGGTGAATACTTTTAAGTGGATCCGGACACTCTATTAGATCTCCTTAGCCGAGGAGTAAGAGTTACCGATTCCGGTTCAGCTATAGCTTTCCCATCTTTGTTGTTTGAATTCCGAATTCTAGATATATCATCCTTCAAAATCTCTTCCAAATCAGCTTTCTTATTTGTTTTTGACTAGTTCCCTACCCTATTAGAATGTGTCCCAAGCTCGTCCTTATATAATATATTTTCAAAAAAGGTCACATCTCTATATCTTATGATCTTCCTATTTTCATCATCCTAAAATTGATAACCAAAATCATTAGAGCCATAACCAATAAAATAATACTTTCTAGCCTTAGGATCAAGCTTATCTCTATCATTAATCCTAGATATACATATGAAAAAAAAAATTCTCAAGTATGAGAAATTACTTTCTTTTTTTACCACATTTCCTTAGGTAACTTGAGAAACTAAAGGTCCTTTATTTATGAGGTAAGCTATTGTATTTACTACATTAGCCCAAAATGTTTTAGGCAAACCAAAATGCAATCTTATGCTTCTTGCTCGCTCATTCAAAGTTTTGTTCATCTTTTCAACAACACAATTTTGCTTTAGTGTCATAGGAACTCGTTTCAATCACTCTAATCCCATTGTCTTAATAGTAATCTTTGAATTTTATGCTAACATACTTTTTTTCATTAACTAACTTCAAGGCTTTGATCTTCAAACTAGTCTTATTTTTAACTTCGACCTTCTACCTTTTGAATATAACAAACACATCGATTTATTTTTTAGAAAATAAACCCATACCTTTTGTTAGTCATTAATCAAAGTGACATAATAGCGTGAGCTTCCAAGAGAATCACAAGGGTTGGTCCTTATACATCTATATACACCAGTTCTAGCTTCTCTTCTTTTAAGGAACTACCAAACTTTAGAAAATAGACTCTCTTCTACTTTCCATAGATGTAAGCCTCACATAAGCTAACACCAATATGTTTCAATTCTAGTAATTTTTTCTTTGATGTTAACTACTTCAAACCCTTTTCACTCATGTACCTAAGCCTTTGATGCCATCATATCAAATCACCATCAAAATTAACCACTCATTCCGTATCCCTTGTTATAACGATTGTGTACAAAGTCCTTACCTTTCTACCATATGTTATAACCATATTTCCTTCATTATCTTCTATGATCCACTCCCAAGTATTATTATGTATCTAACATACTATTATGTATCGAACATTATCGAGTTTACTCATGGAAATCGATTCTTTCTAAGATTTAGAATATCTCTAACAATCTATAGTTTTTATTATATTTCATTGGTAGTTCTAATACCTCACATTTTCTCTCTAATGTTCGGAGGTTTATCCTCTGCAAGATAAACCTTTCTAAAATTTTCTACAACATATTTCGTAGGAAATCTTCACATGGAATATAATGAAACGACACACCTAAGCCTAGAATCCAAGACTCAATGGGACCGACTACACTACAAATTAATGCATCTAAAATTTCATCGGTCGTTGTATATGTAAAGTCATTATCCCGATTCTTCTTCTTCTTCGGAGCCTTACACTAATTTTTAAAGTGCCCTTTCTAGTCACAACTCCAACAAGTGATCTTTTTTTGTTTTTTGGATTTCTCTCTACCCTTTGATTTTAACCTACCATGACCATAATTTTTACCCCTGCTAAAATTTTCTTCCTCTACTATCGATACTCAAAGTAGAACCTAAATGTTCTCTCGACTCACTATTGCAAAGATCTTCATTAACCATTAAATCTTAAACATCATCCCATTTTAGTTTTTCAATCCTAGATGAACTATTTATCGTTATTGCCATTCCATACCAACTATTAGGTAGAGAAGATAGTAAAATTAGTGCCTTAACTTCATCGTCAAACACAATGCTTACTAGCTCTAATTAAATTATTAACACATTAACTTTATTAATGTGATTAGTCACAAATACACCCTCTACCATCTTCGATTGAATAATTGACGTATAAAAAATATCTTATTTGAGGCGAGATGGCTTTTTATACATATTTGACTACGTCATCATCGGATCTACTATGGTCTTTTTTTTCACTATGTTGAAAGCAATGTTTCGTGTTATGTTAGTCGAATACCATCCAAAGCTTAGCAATCCAATAGAACCCGATTAATATGTTTCATCCTCATTGGCTTTTTCCTTAATAGGGTTTTGTGTAGCTTCTTCGGTAAAGATAGTCTTCAATCTATATCTTTCAAAACCCAAAGTCTTTGCCATCAAACTTGTCAATTCTCACTTTTCCTTCTTCTATCATTGTTCCTCCTTACCCTCGCTAACCTAGAGGTCTAATACTAGTTGTTAGAAAACGAATCAAGCAAAAGGATAGAGTTAAAAAAAAAAACAAGAGAAATCAACAACACAAAGATTTTACTTGGTTTGGCAATGGTGCCAACTTCACAGCTTGCAATAGGGTTTTGTCAAGTGACTACTACAAATACAAATGATGCTACCTCTATTTATAATGTGAACAACTAGAGTTCTAAGAAAAAGACATTTCAAAAGCTCGTCCCCGAGCCCTGCAAGGGCGCTACCCCCTTGACTCCTTCTTGTTAATCGACTAGCAAGATCACTTTGTTAGATTTGTATAGTGCCTTATACCGTGAGATCCCATCCACTTCGGCCTTCATAATTGAACGGAACATTCCTTAGTATTCAATAGGGTGTTCGTTTGATTATTTAAATCGGCTTCAAAAATTTTTAAACAGCTTTTTGTTAACCGAATTTTCAAAAAAAAAAAAAAAAAACGAACCGAATTGTTATTCAATTTTAGTGTTCGATGAATTATTATTTACCTTTAACTATCTATACTTTTGAAGGAAGCATATATTTTCTAACGGACTAACACTTAACTCTTCTTGCCAATGTCCTATTAAAAAAAAAAAAACTATAGCATATGACACAATTATAGAAATCCAAAGCATTATAGACTTATAGTTGTTGCTAAAAGGAAAGCCTTAAGCATGCCCACCTTCGGGACCATTCTCTACTCAATGGTTACTATCCATATAGACCAAAACCAATGCTAATAATGCTCTAGTACAAATGTACAATAAGGTGACTTATGAGAGCATTGACCATTGTAGTTGTAGGCTTATTGATTTAGGAATTAGGATAGTACTTGTATAAATATGAAACCAAACCAAAGGCGGGCAGTGGCCACTACCCACTCGGGTAGCGATTTATTGTGCTTCATTCCGGAGTCCGACCTACAATTCTAGTCTACAATATAATTTAACAAAGTAAAAGCACGTAAACAACAATTCCACACTCCTAAATTATCAAGTAAAATCGGTAATTCAATAAAGTAAAAGCAACAACAACATGCCAATAATTCAACACTAACGACTTAATAACTTGACAAGTAAAATAATTCAAGGAACTCCAATAAATAGTCCAATTCAAGAAAAAGGTTAACCAAATCCTTCCATGAAAAGAAAAAAAATGTCAATTCTATAAAATATGAAGACATTTACAAACAAACATAGACACACATAAAGATAATTCGTTAGAAACTTACCCATGTCACTCAATAGACCAAACCACCATCAATTCATCATATATCTATCATAGGTGCATCCGTTAAAATTTTAAATAAATTTAAAAATAAAATAAAAAATCAACACTTTAATATTAATTTAGAAGGAAAAAAAGACAAATGAAAAGATAGGAATTGAAAAAATTAATAGCTTTAAGTTTCTCAATATCTTGTAAATCTTCTTCAGTATTAATTGGCATCAAATTTTGATTTATATTAATCATCAAAAATAAAACTTTCTACTTTACATTATACCAAATGAATCGTTAACCCTATATATATAATGATTGTCCGCTCGTAACATATTGCGAGTATCCAACTAGTTGTAATCAAGGATTTCTTTGATATTTTTGTGTTTTGGTTTCTTTAATGTGTTTGTAAGCGGGATGACAAGTTGATAATGAAAATGGAGGGAGGTATTGAGGCAATGCTATTGCCTCAAGGCATAATGGAGGAGACTAGAGAGTATTGATTACTGTTGTTGGTCTGTTAAGATAGGATTAACTATAAAGATTTTAAGTCTTGATAGGAATGACAAAGGAGGGAATGATTAAAAGGTGGGGTTAGCTAGCTCATGGCAACAAATCAACCTAGTTGAAAGCAATGGCTCACCGGCTCAAGAGTTAGGACTGGATTTGTTTTTTTTTTCAGTAAAACATTTCAATTAAAATCGAATTTTTACCAAGGCAAACAACAATAATTTGGTTTCAAAACAAATTTATTGATCTTATTTTGGTTCAGATTGGATTTTGGTTTTTCTTAATTCGATAACCGAAACCCGAACCAAATTGTACAAAACCAAACCATTTAACAGTTAGCTCACCCCTAACTGCTTGGAAGGTTGATTTGGTGTCTAAACTAAACATAGCATTATTATTTCCAAGGCCACAAGCTACATTGCTTGCACCAATGTCACACAGATAGATCTCTTTGGCTGAGGTTGCCATGTGGTGATGTCTTGGCGAACTGCATATCCAAAATAAGGAGTTAAGAGAAAGTCATGCCAGGATTTGCAAACGCACCTAAACTGAATGGCAGTCTTGGTGAGAAGACTTGATAGTATATTAGCAAAAATTTCAATCGGCATACTGGGCAATAATTCCTCCAACTCTCGTCCTTTTTTGTGATATGGTTCTATATCTTGCCATCATTGTTTTCCTTGCTGCGTTTTACACTGCAACAAAAATACGGACCTTAAGCAAATTTTTGTTTGCTATGTTGTCACGTCTAATCTGGTTGGTATTTGAGGTTCACAGAAATCACCGACCTTAGGGACGTCAGAGTTTGTAAACCATATACCATACGGAGAATCGTTTTTACGGAAAGTAAAAAAGCAGAGAAGCTGAATACAATAAGGATTCTAATTTTTAGTTTTTTTTTAAAAAAAAAAAAAAAAGGATAGGAGGACCAAAAAGGATGACAACGATTATGAACCTGAGTTTGTAAACTGAAAAAAGAGAATCCAATGCTTGAACGGCAAACAGAAAGGCCATTGGCGAAAACATTGGGCCTTCACTTGTTCTCCAGCATTACTGACCGGATATTCTGTTTGATTAAGAAAGTTGATACCAGAATTTGATGCTTTCTCACTATAAAGCAAGTCAGTCAATGTAACTATTAGTTGCTCCGTCCTGTAAACAAAATTTTGTACAATTATCTGTTTATTAAGTCTGTCCTGAACAAGATTTGTTCAGAAATCCGATTTCGATCACTCATTGACCCAAATTTTTGTTTGAATATAGAGCTGGTTAACTACTCCCTTTTTTACCTGTGCGGAAATCGTTGAATACCAATCACAAAAGTTCAATTGACAAAGGGACGGTGAGACAAGGCTTTGGCAAGCTGACACCTAAATTCAGTGCTGGACAGATTTTCTATGCACTGCAAGTGAAGATGTCTTTTATGGTTTGGACATTTGTGGAACTCAATGTTGCAAAGCTCTGTCAGTATTCACGGCACATAAGACATGCTTCCTATAAACAATCCAAATAAGTCATTTAGATTGTGCACCCTAATACAAGCAACAAATACTCAATTTATCTGCAACATATATGATCAAGGTTTGACGTCCAATGAAGAGGCTGATTGTACATGTTCTTAATGATAATACTTGGCTTCATATTAAAAGATTTTAGTATTTTGGCCCTTTTAAAAGAGAATTAATTTTCAGGAAGAAATAAGGTTTGCTATGATTTATGAATGGAAGGAAAAAGTAGACAACTATGATTCATAAATCCAAGTTATTAAATTATTAACGGTTTGAAATAACATGGAAATGTTAAAGCTGGTTCACAGAAATAAAAGTGAAAACAGAACACTAGGACTGCACACCCTCTATTCAAACCTGTTCTTGCACAATAATACTAGAAGATCAAAAATTCTCTCTTGCTATCAGCTGCTAGTGGACAAAGCTTGGTTTCCATCTTATGTACTAGTATATATTAAATTTAATCTAGTGCCTTGTTTATTCTAATTTTTCTAGGAATTGATACCAAAAAAAGAACAATTATCATAGATAAAACCTCAGTCATTAAATTCAATGTTTTCAATATAAAAAAAAGTTGAAACGTTAATAGTTCTCTTCATCTACAAAAGATTTCTGCATGAAGATAGTGAGTGTTGCAGTTAAAAATAATATGATGCATTCCTCTTGCCTTTTTATGGTCTTCAAAAGTTGAAATGAAGCTTGAATAACAAAGTTGAACTTAATGCAGGATTTGTTCATGTAAATAAGACACACCTATGGCTTCTAAGAAATTTGCTTTAGGATAAAACAAGTGACTCCAAATGACAATGCTCTAGAAATGTACCTTGTGTTGAAGCTTACAGATAGCGAATGAGCTCAACTGCAAACTTTCCTTTCTTTGTAGAATTTATTTCTCCTATCTGAACTAGAAGGAATTTATAACATTCAGAACAATCAGCTGCATAATAATTCAAATGCTATTGGTCATAAGAGTTTGATAAACCTAACCTTTAGTCTTCCTTTTCCACTTACTGAGACAATATCTCCAGTTTTTAATGTAGTATTGTTTTTTGTTATGGTGGTCCAATTCACACGCACATCCTTGTTACTGCAAATCAGCTCCAAAAAAAAAAAAAAATCCTGTTACTGCAAGGACCCACCTTGATTAACTTATGCCTTTACAATTTGAAACCTATTTAAACCAAAATGAATCTAACTAAACAAATTTCCATAAATGAACATTGAAACTCCTCCAAAATTGCCATTCACATCCAGATGCAGTGCATCATAACTGCCCCAAGTAATGGCATTTCTTAGTTAAGTTTATAGATACCTACAAGCTGTATTAGCATGTATGCAGATATTGTTGGGAGGCAATACCCATCTAAATAAGAAGTAATAGCATAGGATTTACCACTACATAGAGCAGCGGCCAAGCAAGAAATGATCATCGATTCTTAAGGGGAACATGGGCGTACCTAATCAAATCAACTAGTTTTGACCTTGAAATCTTGAATCCTGCACTTGCTAGAGCATCGACTCTTAGTGATGCTTCCACTGTTTTAAATGACGTAGTCCTGAAAATAGTGAAAGGAACATAAACTATTTCACTCATGCCTAATGGGAAAATCACCAAAATCATGCAAAAAACACCACAATCATAATAGCTTGCAAACCTTGGTGGCTCATATTCAAGAGCAAGCAATGGGATTGGTGTACACGAAACTGAAACATTCCCAACCTGCTGGAGAATTGCATTAGACAACATAGATTGAAGAATATTACATATCAAAATACAGAAAGCATCAACAACATGCCTATCTGAGCATATTTCCTAATCAATTTAATTTTTGATATATCAGATGTGGATTGTCACCTTATTGAGGTAAGGAAGATTTTCTTTTCATATCAATTTTTCCAATACCAATAGAAGTTGCGCTATGCATGAATTTCTCCTCATAGATAAATTTGCAATTTCCTCCCCGACAAATATCAAATGGAGGGTGAGGTTTTAATGAAATACAATCATTGCACACAGATAAAGGAGCAAAGGGGAAATAAGAAAGGACTAGGAGGTAGTTTAGTTAATGTGATCAAATGAAATAGCCTTGATCATAATTGTCGTAGTACTGTCAGATCTAGTAGAGTGAGATAAGACATAATTTGAGTAGTCAAAAAGTTTTGAGGAAAGTAACTGCTTTCATAGAAAAAGTATTATCTAAGGAAGCAAAAACTACCTTGTCCAGTGATGACACAATATAGTCCACAAGATCGGGAACAAGTAGGACTTGAGCCCCTTTTTCTCCCTGCACAGTTATAAAAGCAAAGCAAAGCAAATGAAAAGGTTACACTCCAGTCTAGAGAGCTTTATACCACTTTTCTTTGCCAGCTAAAGATTAGTTGCAACACTTATAAACCCATACAAATAAGTGTCTCTCTATTGCATGTATTGAAAAATAGTCTCAGAGAGACAAGAGAGAGTAGCTGCTCATATCAGTTAGGCTTCAAGCCCCTAATTATTTATAAAAGGACTTGGGACTAGGCAAACAAGTCCAATTTTTCTTTTCCTCTCATTTTTATTTCAAATTAATTCTTCTTGACAAGCTCACCTTTTAAATATTTGCTGAATCTAATTTACAACAAGCACAGTGTAAACTCAAGCGATGTAGAACCAAAGAACAAGATCACCATAAGAGAGCTAATTTAGAACAGAAACAAAAATCACCAACAAGAGAGACACGCTCGATCTTGAAGGGACTAAACCAAGAGAAACACTCAACCATGGAGATTTAACACATGAGACACTCAATCTTGGAGAATATTCTAAGTCTTCAATCAATAACAATATGTTCCTAATAACTAATGTCTAGGTGCTTATTTTTATGCAGCAAACCATATAACATAGGAAAACCTAACAAGTCTTAATTCAATAAGGAAATTAAAATCCTAATTAAATCCAAATTAATAAAAAAAAATACTAATATTCTTAAATAATAAATATAGAATGATCATAAAATATTAAAATCCCTAAATAAATAAATATCAATTTCCATTGTTGCCCTCCATCCTTCTCCCCTGGTTGGAAAAAACTCAACATCGAGTTCAAAAGTGTCAAAGTAGCAAAAACTCCACAAGCTTGCATGCACTTCATAGCTTGAAGAAAATGTTTTGCACTTGATACCTTTCATTCTTCTTCAATGATGAGAGAAATGTCGATAATAAGATGGTCCTTTCAGCTACAAGGTTGATTTCAGAAGGAATTACAAAGTCAATGTGATCAACACCATCTTTAAACTCTTCAGTTTGCGACATTTCGTGATCTTCTTGTACAAGATCCATTGCTTTCACTTCTTCATTCTCAAACTCATGTCCATCTTGTGTCTGTACCATCACAATTTCCTCTAATAAGTTTTCTTCCCATGTCATCTTCAATGCATTCATCAACTTTGACAACAACTTCTCGATTCTCTAACTTGAGCTCTGCTTGGTCAAGTTCGACCTATTCACCCTCAGTTAGGTTGTCACTAGACTCCAAAGGTTTGGATTGTGCATAGATATCAGCAACAACTTTATTATAGTGGTCAATAGGAAAGCCCAATGGTCACAATGCCTGGTACGTATAAGGATAAGAACACTCTCAACTAGTTTAAGTGGACTAAATGAGAGAACTTGGTTATCCAATCCCATATTTTCCAAAAGAAGAAAGATTAATTCGATTGGAATTTCATCAATTTCCTTGAAAATCTGAATCATCATAAGACTCCATGTGCAAGAACAACTTTTAGATAGATGTTTTGTGAAAATTGTCAAAAAACACCTAAGCATATCCACAACAGAGAATCACATTCGAGATCTAGCATCACAAGATCAAGTTTGACCCTAGCAAAAACTTCAAATATCCAATCAATTTGAAGTATCAGATGTATCTTATAATACTGCTACAATAAGCTGAAAAATCTTCATCATCCGATCATCACTAGAAGGAGCATCTATGGCAGTTATTCTCAAAACCTCACACAACATCCATACTCAAGTTAGTTAAAAGTTCCTTAGACACTAATGCCTCTACAGAGTATTTAATGCCCTTCTCATGGAACCAGATAGAAATTAGTCCCTTTCGCTATCCCATTCGCAAGTCAATCAACCCAATAAAGCAACAAGAGTAATCTACAGTAACAAAATGATGATACCTGTAAGATTATATCCCCAAGCTTGTCCCTGGCAATCCCAGTACCAAGAATTGCACCAAGGAAGTCACCATGAGAACAGGGTTGAAATCCAAAGTTTCCTGTTATACTGGACAAATAAATGCATTTCAGAAAACATAAACGAACAAATGACTTGCGAATGAATTAGAGTTTGATAAGGTCAAGGTTTAGTATGACTCACCTCAATGCTGCAACTATGTCTGGATCACTTGTCAGTGCTTCTGGATGTCCAACAGAAAGCCGGCAACGCTCAGCCTAGAGGATTTGTTGAAAATATGTTACCATGCCAAATAAATTTATGCACCAACAGAAAGCAAACCGGAAGTCTTAAGTTTAACCTGTGGGTATCCTCCCTGAGCAATGACCTTAATGTCAGCTAGTTTTTCTAGCACAAGTAATGATTCCTTCAATGTTGGAGGGGTGAGAAAATCTGTATGGAGAACTTCTCTTCGTAATGATGCCCTTCTTGCCTGCAAAGAGTAAAATAGGAGAAGTTGAAAGACCGAGTGAAACATGAACTTTTTTAACAGGCAATAATTTCATTTTCATGCATCCAAAATTCTGTAACATTTTGCCCGTACTAGAGTAAAACTTCACAAATCCTAGAAGCAAATGTAGTTAGGAGAAAGCATTTCAAAACGAAAACAAAAATACCATGTCAAGGACATGCTTCACTTCTTCAATGACATTTTTGTCTTCTACACCCTTTAGTGCAACAGCAACTTCCCCCTTTGTAGCTTGAGCCACGTGACACATCCCTAAAGCTATTGCACAAGAATTGCCAATACAAACCATAAGCCATCAGATACATAATCAAACTCTTGTAGTACATAAACTATCAACCCAAAAATATATAGTACTAAAAAATACCTTGTAAAGGAGACAACTGAATAGTAGTAATGCATTATTTGATTCTACCAGCTAACTAAACTATTGAGTTCAACAGTCCCTCAGCGTTCCATTATAAAACAAAAATTCTTTAGATTCTTCACACATAACCCCAAAACTTGTTTTTAATGAATTACAACTATAACCCACAAGCCAAATTGTACGAAAGAGCTTACTTTGATCCAATTTTAACTAGTAAAACATCAAGATTTATAATCTTGCTCTTTCTTTTGACAATCTATACAAACAAGTACACGAGCAGTTTAGTCCATCTACGCTTGGAATCAAGCTGTAGTGACCTCAGAATTAACTACTGCTATATCAAAATTGAACAAGAAAGTGTAACACAGTACTTCAGTGAGCCGTTTCATCAAACACCATTAGCCCATTGCAGCTAAGCTTAATCAAACACAACATTTCCCTTCTTTCTTGATTTTGTCCCTGATTTAGTAGATATTGACAAGTTAGAGAAAATTAGGATAAAATTATATTTCCCATTTTATTATTCTTTTCTTTGTTCTTTGTTTAAATGAGCTTAGTGCGCGTTTTCAAGAACTACAAGAGACCGAAAATGCACGAACCTGAGTGTCTGGTAACAGGAGTAGAGAGAGGAAAAGAGAAACAGGTTCCACAAAAGGAAAGGCGTGTTTTTGTGGGAAGAGAGTGAGAGAGTGAAAAGGCTTGAAAAACGCTTCTTAGAAGCCATGGTGTTGCTATGGAGCCGATGGCAGCCATTGTTGCCTGTGTAGGCAATATCATTTAAGCGTGTAGGATTCTTGTCTACAAAAAGGTCACAAAAATTTTCCTCTGCCTTGCTCACTTAGCTCCAAGTCTCCCTTAATTTAAAACTTTATTTTTACCTCTATAGATTCATTAATACTTCTCTTCTATCCCTACAGCTTAAATTTTTCTAATTTAACCCATTCAGTTTCCAAAAAGTTTCAATATTACCCCTACCATCAAATAACCTATTTATAAGAAATGGTTTTTCAAAATTGTTTGGACTCGCATTATCTACAAACCGTTAAATAGCCAAATTTAATTTTATTTCACTACAATAAATCAAATTTATCGGTTCCTTATTTATTGTTTGATGAAACTTATCGTTGTTTATTAATATTTATAAAAAAATGTTTTTATTTATAATTGTTCGGACTCACGTTATTTACAAACCATTAAATAGCCAAATTTAATTTTATTTCACTATAGTAAATCAAATTTATCGTCTCTCCGTTTGTTAGTTGATGAAATTTATTGTTGTTTATTAATATTTATAAGAAATGCTTTAGTTTATAATTGTTTGGACTCACGTTATCTACAAAATTTTAAATAACCAAATTTAATTTTATTTCGTCGTAGTAATCAAATTTATCATTCTCTATTTATTGTTTGATGAAATTTATTATTATTTATTAATATTTATTTAAATTTTATTTTTTAGCTCAACACTAAGACAAGGAGATGGTGTATAAGTGTGGCTAGTAAATTGTCCGAAGCTTTCATGGAACTTGTTAGCTACTTAAAGTAGTAAATTGTTATTTGCCCAAGCAAATTTCTTTTAGTTTTCTTACTTTTCCATATTTAGGGCGATACCTTTTTTTTTTTTTTTAAATCCGAGGCTTATGAATTTTTTAGCTACATAATAGGAGTAGCTCTCTCTCTCTCTCTCTCTTAAAGTATAAGTTATATTGGAAACTAACGGACAGTACGAGGCAAGCTTCCTCTTCATCTCGCAGTCCTCGCTCGTTTAAATTATTTTCGGTGTATATCTCTTAGTTTCCTAGTAGAACTTGGAAGATTCTTTGTATATAAATAACTTTATATCAATAAAGTAAATACACGGCTATTGATACGGTTTTGTCATGGTATCGAATAGGTTAACTAGGGCTTCTTTTTCTTCACCATGGCCGAAGAAACAGAAGCAAAGACCTACACCTACGAACACCCAATTAACAAACACAAACTTCAACCAAAATACACATGATTTATCTTCTTCATACATGTTACACCTAACCGATAACCCGTGCATCATCCTAGTTTCCTGTTTTCTCAAAGAAGTAAATTATCCAACATGGCGAAGAGCCATGACCAATGCATTATTAGCCAAAAACAAATTTGGCTTTGTTGATGGGACCCTACCTCATCCCGAACTTGATTCACCAAATGCTGCAGACTTGGATTAAAAGCAACTCCATGGTTATCTCATGGATATTCAACTCTCTTCACCCATCCCTACATGATAGTGTTGCATACTTTGATACTGTAAGGGAGATGTGGATTGATTTGGAAAAATGCTTTTCACAAGGGAATGCCCCACATGTACACCAACCGAAGACGAGACATTGTGAATACGTAGCAAGGAGACATGTCAATATCCGTGTATTCCACAAAACTAAAAAGGCTTTGGGATGAGTATAACACTTATTCTCAAATTCCAATATGCACGTGTGGAGCGACCAAGGCCATTGCAATTGAGAAAGAAAAAGAAAAGGTTCATCAATTCTTGATGGGATTGAATGAAAAATACAGTGAGGTGCGCTCTCGGATTCCGGATACCGACCCATTACCTTCTCAAGCACGAGCATATGCACGTGTTTCCCAAGAAGAAAGACAACGAACAGGTTGCAACATCAAGAGGAACGACTATTGTTGAAGCTGCTGCATTTGTTGCAACTAGAGGTAATTCAAAACCGACCGGTTCTCGCACTATAACAGGAAATTGTGACACTTCAAAACTATATTGCAATCACTCGCAAGAAGACTAAGCACACAAAGGATACGTGCTTTAAATTGCATGGATATCCAGATTGGTGGGAAAAGAACAAGTCCAAATCAACACAAGGAAAATCAGCAAATCAAGCACGGATCATGGAAATGGAAGAGCAATCCATTGTATCACCAATCAATGGTCTTTCCAAGAAACAAGTACACTCAACTTATATCTCTGTTAAACCTTGAGAAGGATCATGACATTAATCCAATAGCTAACTTTCGTTGGTAAGGTAGTTTCTCGTCCAATGATAAAATTGAATGGATTCTTGATTCGAGTGCTATCGACCATATGACTTGCCAAAAATAATATCTTGCATGATGAAAGAAATATTAACCTCAACTCCCCTGTTAAAATTCCAGATGGTTCCTTCATTCTAGTCAAGTCTTGCGGGAATGTTACCATTGATTCACATATCAAATTAAACCATGTCCTTTACATACCTTCCTTTTCTTGTAATCTTATTTCCATAAGCAAATTGACCAAAGTTCTAAATTGTGCCGCTCATTTTTTCCCTCATTTTGTGCCTTACGGGACCTAGTCACAAGGAAGTCGATTGGCATGGGTGAACTTAGGGATGGTCTTTATTATTTTCGAGCAATCAACATCCCCATAGCTTCAGCAAACTCGTTCATGATGCTCGGTTTTGTTCTATGGCACAAACGTCTTGGTCATTTGTCTTTTGATAGATTGTCTTTCATTGATGGCTTGAATTCTCATAGTATGAAGCATTTTCATAAGTGTTGTGATACTTGTCATCGAGCAAAACAAGTTCGTCACCCTTTTCTTACTAGCTCCATTAAGACTCAAAATGCATTTGAATTAATTCATCGTAATGTCCGGGGTCCTTATCAAAATGCCTCATTATCCGATGCCTATTATTTCCTAAGTATTGTTGATGATTTTACTAGAACTACATGGGTTTACTTAATGAAAAGAAAAATTGAGGTTTACTATTTTTTAACATCCTTTGTTGCCATGGTATATAGACAATTCAATTTTCATGTCAAACAGATCCGCAGTGTTAATGGGACGAGTTTACCAATCATAAATTTCAATTGTTTGTCAACAAAATGGGATCCTTACTCAATTCTCTTGTGTTTCTACACCTCAACAAAATAGGATTGTAGAACAAAAACATAGGCATCTTCTTGAAGTTGCAAGAGCCTTAAGATTTCAAGCGAAATTACCCATTAAATGTTAGGGTGAGTGTGTCTTAACCGCAACCTACTTGATAAACTATACACTCATACCTATCCTTTCCGGAAGGAGTCCATACGAAGTCTTGTTTTCTCACAAACCTAATTACTTACATCTTTGAGTTTTTGGTCGTCTTTGCTATGTATCGGTTATTCCAAGGTCTAAAGATAAATTCAATTAGCGTGCCACACCATGCATTTTCATTGGCTATCCCTATGGCCAAAAGGGATACAAGGTCTATGACTTGAAAAACCATAAAACTTTTGTTTCTCGTGATGTGGTTTTTTATGAAAACATCTTCCCTTTTCATACTCGACCACACCAATCAATGACACCTCAAGAACAAACCATTCCCATACCATTACCCACCATAGAACCCGATGTGCAAGATATATATGACTCCACTCAAACCTCCACTTCAATTGACCGAAACTTAAAGATGTAGAGACGAATACCATGCCTCTACCTAGCACCATAAAGATAGCCGAGCCCATTATTGATCGGGGCTCGGTAATTCATACTCGAATCCACTCATCCCACTCGAAACGGAAAACTACCAACTCATCTCAATGACTTCTATGTTGATTTGCCGGGAACTAATAAAGGTTTATCCTACACTCATCCCAAGACAGCTTCCTCGGGTACATCTTATCCCCAATCTCATTACCTTTCTTATTCTAAATTCTCATCACCCTATGCTTGTTACCTTACGGCCATCACTCAAAATGATGAGCCCACATCTTATTCACGAGCCAATAAAGACCCTCGATGGTAAAGAGCAATGCAAAGTAAACTTGAAGCACTTGAAAGGAATCAAACTTAGACATTAGAGAAATTGCCTCCGGGAAAGAAAGCCATTGGGTACAAATGGGTGTTCAAAATTAAATATCATTCCGATGGAACAATTGAACGGTATAAGGGACGTCTTGTGGCTAAAGGGTATACCCAAGTGGAAGGCCTAGATTATACCGAGACCTTTGCACCGGTTACTAAACTCACCACCGTTCGCACTCTTTTAGCGATCGCTATGGCTAAACGTTGGACTCTTCACCAACTTGATGTGTTCATAATGCATTTCTTCATGGTGACTTAAATGAAGAAGTGTATATGAAGCCCCCACTTGGTTATTTATCTCCTAATGATGATCGTGTGTGTCACCTCCGTAAGACTTTGTATGGTTTAAAGCAAGCTTCTAGGCAATGGTTTACCAAATTTTCTACTCGCCATTCTTCATTTTGGTTTTACTCAATCCAAAGTTGATAGTTCTCTGTTTTTAAATCACAAAGGGACTTTTTTCATTGTTGTTCTTGTTTATGTAGATGATGTTATCATTGCCACAAATGATGACTTGCATCTTGTTGCTCTCAAACGTTACTCGGAGGCCTCGGTTTCCCATCAAAGATCTTGGAAACCTTAAATACTTCCTTGGTCTCGAAGTTGCTCGCTCACCTAAAGGTATTGCCTTATCTCAATGGAAATATACATTGGATCTCTTACAAGAAGCGGTATGCTTGCTTCCAAGCCTTGTCATTTTCCTATTAAACGGAACCATAAGTTGGCTCTCGATGATAGTCGCCCACTTGATGATCCCGGTTCCTATCGTCGGTTAGTTGGGCGGTTAATATATTTGACAATAGCCAAACCCGACATTTCTTACTCAATGCACATTTTATCTCGGTTCATGAATCAACCTCGTCGAGGGCATTGGCAAACCGCCTTACGGATATTGCGGTATCTTAAATTGGCACCGAGTCAAGGCATTTTC